CCCGGCCCCGCCCGCCGCCCCGCCCCGACCCCGCCCCCCGCCCGCCCCGGGTGGGCTCCGAGCCCCCGCGCCCGCCCCCATTGCGCAGATGGGGACACTGAGGCCCGCGGCGCGCGGCGCCCCGCGGGCAGGGCGTGAGTCAGCCCGAGCCCGGGACGCCCGACGCGCACCCGCCTGAGCGCGCCGCCGCCCCTCCCGGGCCAGCTTCGACCCCGCAGCAGGACGCGCGGCCGCAGGGGACGCAGGACTGGGACGCGGTCAGGTGTCCGGAGGCCGCGTGGGGAGCCCGCTCTGGTCGGGGGAGGGGGAGGCCCTCGAACTCCCAGGCTGGGCACCGAACCGTGCGGATGGCCATCGCAAGGGGGTGGCCAGCTCACTAGGCAGCAGGCACGGACTAAAGCTGACCGCGACTTTGCAGTCACCCGTAGGGTGGGCAGAATGACCCCCGCGGCCCGGGCACCCCTATTTGCACGAGGTCACACGGAGAGCTGTGGCTTGGTGGAGCCTGGGCAGAGCCTAGGTGCGACCTCTCAACCAGCGTGTCAGGTTCGGGACTCTGTGGGACTCCCACTGGGTTAGGGTTAGGGTCAAGACCACCCCCAGACGCCCCCTCCGCCGGGCCTCCTGGGCTCCATTTCTGCACGTGTCAGGTGGGCTAAAGCAGCACTTCCCTGCAGCAGTGCCCACCAAGGGAGGGGGCCGGAACCAGGAGCAGGCACGCCCCACCTGCCGGGAATTATTTGGTCACATCGACACCAGGACTCTCACGGCCCTCACTGCATGCCAGGCGCAGGGCCTGCTCCCCTCGGCCGCTTCTGCCCTTGAAGCAGGGCCTGGACCCTGGTCACCTAAGTGACCTAAGCATGTGTGTGTAGGATGTTCCCAGGCCCAGCTGGACCCCCCGCTTGTGCCCAGAGCATCTGAAGCCTGCTATGGGACTCACCTGGAGAAGGCGGCTCTGTCATTCCCCCCGGACAGCGGTGGCAGCTGCTCTTCCGGCAGGCAGGGGTCCTGGTACTTCCCTCCAGCCGGACTCTGCTGGTCAGAGCCATAGTGTGGGTTAGCGCCCAGCCTTGGTCACCCTGATGTCCAGGGGCTGGGATGGCGGCGACAGCCAGAGCTGAGTGGGTCTTTCCGAGTGTTGCCTGTGGCTCACACCCTCAGCCTCCAGGCAGAGCCAGACCTGCCTCGGGTCCCAGGAGATGGGGATGGACAGGCTGCTGGGCATGACTGCAAAGCCCAGGGCTTCCCTTTCTTGGGGAAGGGGAAGGCTTCTTGGAGAGCTAGTAGCTTGGGGTGTCAGGTTAGGGCCCACTTTGGTACATGGGAACTAAAGGACAGGAGGGGACCCCAATGGCTGGACAGAAGCCCCCAGGATGAGAGGGCCCTGAGAGCCCCTGGCAGATGGTCTGAGGGCAGCTGGGGTAGCTGCAGCTGCGACGCTTGTAATCATGACAGGCTCCTGCCGCTGAAGGACTTCAGGTCCCCTGGCCCCTGAACCTGAGCAGGGCAGCCCTCACTCAGACCCAGGCAGGGAAGAGTTAAGAGCCAGGCCTAGGGGAGACCTTCCCCACCCAGTCCCCTGCCCCCATCCTGTCCCTGACCCTGCAACCCAGCTGGGCCCCTGGCCCTCACTCAGCTGCTAACCCTGGGCCGGGCCGAGGCCTCGTGTTCTGCTTCTTCATGTGATCCACGGGGCTTCCCCAGACAGACCTCGGCCATGGCCTTGGGGCCACGGGAGCAGCGGAAGCCGGAGAAGCCTCTAGTGCGGCCGGGGGTCTTGGTTGGGGACTTGGGCACTCTGGCTGGAGGAGGGGAGAGGGAGAGCAGGGGCTCCCCTAGGGTCCCAGGTGGGCCGTCCCTGTGCCTGAGGACCTTACCCATGCCCCCGAGGCCAGCCCAGCAGGACGTGGGGGGCCGCTCGTGTCCGCTCAGCGCACCCAAGGAGCCTGGCCATACATCTGGCTTTGGGCTTCCTCTGCGTGAGGCCAGAGCCTCCTCCACCTGCCCTCCCAGACCCACGTTGGGAGAGCTTGCCCACGCTTGGGGGATGGCCCTGGGACCCCGGCTTTGAGAGGAGAGCCCAGCCGATCTTAGGAGCTTCTCCAGGATGGCAGTCGGCCTGGAGGGCGTGTGGAGGGGAAGGCCACAGGCCGCGTCGGGCTTCTCCTCTCAGGAGTCACAGTGGCTGCTGGACTACCCAGGGCTCAGTGTCCCAGCCAGGCCAGCCAGAGTCAGTCTAGACCAGGCCACCCACAGCGGGTGCCCTTGGCCAAGGGGCCTGAGTGTCCCCAACGCGGTGGGAATGGCACCATCGGAGAAGAGCGAGATGGTGCCCGGAGGCCAGGGTGCGGAGCTGGCGGGTGGGCACCCAGCCGACAGGTGCCTCGGCCAGCAGGTCGGTGGGAGCCAAGGGTGGGCTCACCCCGCTTGGCCCGCTCCCTGTCCCCGAGGCCACCCCTGCCATACCTGATACTGCCCGGGCCCGGGCTTGGCCACGGCCCCCATCGCTGCCCGCTCAGGCCAGAGGTGGATCCTCCCCTGTCTGGCCGCCCCAAGCGCCTCCGGAGGCCGCCTGCCTGGCCTGACCGCGGAGCTCTCAGCTGGGCCGTGCGGGGCAGCCGTCTGCGGGCGGGGAAGCTCCTCCCGGGGCAAGGAAGGGTGGCTTTTTATGCTTCATCCCGTGTAAATCAGGATTGGGATGGGCCCTTCCCGGCCGGACTTCCTGTGTGTGTTCCTCGCTGATAACAGGGAGCGGCCTGCAAACAAACAGGAGGCCCTGGGACGGGTGGGGGCCATCCAGGGGGTGGCCTAGTCGGATTGTGGGCAGGGGTGGGGGAGCGGTCCCCTGGGATTTCAGAGTCTAACTCTGAAGCAGCCGGAGACCAGGCGCAGGCCTGGCTGGCAAGCCTGGGACCCGCGGGTCTCAGCGTGTGACAGAGGACGTGGCACACTGGGAAGCCACCTTCTGGCCCCATCAGCCATGTTACCAAAGTTCCACAGGAGGGACTGTTTGTGCTCTGACCCTGGACTCTCCCCAGGCCGGGCACCTGCACCCTCAGATGTGTATGCCCAGCATGGGAATCTGGAGGGACTCCCACCCTGGGAGGGGGCCCCGGCCGGAAGAGACCTGGGGATGGGCAAGGTGGACTGGTGGTCCGGACACAGCCCCTGAGGCCCAGAGTGGCTGAGGGGGGATCAGGGAGGGCAGTCACCAGCCCAGAGATTCGGGCCTTCTCCAGGAAGGGGCTACCCCGGGGGGCAGTGAGCCCCCTGCTCCCGGAGATGCACCCACCGGGGTCCTCTCCCAGGGGCAGGCAGAGCACATCCCCCAGCCCTCTCCCCTCCCTCGGCCTCCAGCAGGCAGAGGAGTGCCAGGGCTGGGCATGGAGATGGAGGAATGTAGGGCCTTTGGGAGACCACCAAGAGTGCTTGGGGGTGTTCACCTCCAGCTCCTGGACTAACTTCCGGTGTCTTCGTTTAGGTGGTGCTGGGAGCCCGCAGGCTGGACCTCAGTTGCTGGGATCGTGGGTGGCTGGAGACCCAAGGGGACCTGGGCAGCTGCTGAGGACGCACCTGGACCACACAGTTGGCCGAGGGTCCCTGATCCAGCAGGGCCACGCCAGACCTCTGCTGGTTGTCCCCGGGGTTTGTGCCCTGCTCCGGGATCAGCCCCTGCCCACCCACAGCCAGAACACCCCTGCTCGCCCTTACCTCCCTCTGGCCCCACCTAGCTGGGTGTCCTGGCCAAGAGGGAGGAGGGGTTGCTGCTTGGAAAATCCCCCACGGGAATGCTGAGAGCAAGAGGGACCAGCCTCCTCCCCACCCCCACAGCCTGCAGGTTGGGGGTCTGCTGCAGGCACAGGGCTGGAGGCCTTGCTAGAGGGTAGGGTCCAAGCTGGACTCTGCCCCCGCTGCCCGCCCCACCCAGACCACACCCAGAGATGGGGTCCGAGCCCCTGCAGACACCAGGGCCGGCTGCAGCCAGCCTCTTTTGTGTGTAGACAGGGAAACTGAGGCCTGGGAGAGAGAAGAGACTTGCCCCAGGTGAGCAGCGAGGCAGAGGGCTAGAATGGGTCAGGATCAAGACAGCTGCTTTCTTTTCTCAGAGGGGGCTCCCTCGGGGGCAGCCCCCAGTCCCCCGACCTTCCCTGCCAGGGGCGGGCTGACCTGGGAGTAGCTAATGAGCCCAACAGTGGATGGTGAATGTCTCACCCTCCCTTTAAAGCTTGGCCATGTGAGGGAACTTTCTGGAAAGACACTCCAGAGCACAGACGTGCAATACATACATGGCGAGAGCAAAGAAAGTCAGTCTCCCCAGCCCCTGGGAGCCGGCCAGGGTGGGGCGCCGGTTCTGCCTGCTGCCCGCAGGCTCTGTGAGCCCCCCACGGGTCCGCGCTTGCCTCCTGACCGGCTCTGCCCTGCCCCCATCCCCTCCCTGAGCGGAGATCAGAACTGATCCACGGAGAGCAGGCTTTGGGTCAGAGCGTCAAGGGATGGCCTCGCCCCGACTTGCCACTCACCCCCCCACCAGGCGCTGCACTCAGGCTCCTAGAGTCTCAAGGGCCAGTGCAGGAGGAGGCCTAGGGCCCTGCCCTAAACAGGGCTCAGCTCCTCAGGGTCCGCCCTGGGGGTGGGGTACAGGTGGGGGACAGAGGTGGAAGTGACACTTTCTTGGACTCCAGGAGGTCCCGGGGCCCTAGAGAGGGGCGAGACGTGCTTTATGCCCCACAGGCCCACCCCAGGGTGCTGGGACGGTGGAAGGAGGCTCCACCTGGGGCAGGCTGGGACCACCCTCCCTCCCACGAGAGGCAGGGCCTCCTCCCACCTCTGATGGTCCCTGTTTAGGGTCCAGGAACACACGGCTTGCCGGCAGGGAGTCCCCACTGGAAGGAGTCTGACCTGGGCCTGCATCCCCTGAGGGCATGGTGGGCCCCGGCAGTCCGCTGTCCACACCTGCGCAGCTCGGAGACCTGGGCTTAGAGCCTGGCCTGCTTCCGGCATGGCGTCCAAGGCTGGGGGAACTGGTCCCAGCTTCGCTTTCTGTTGCTGGAGGCTCTGGGCCTCAGTTTCCCCATCCACCCCGTGGTCAGTAGGGCTGGATGGTCGCAGCTACCTCCCCAGCTGTGAACGTTCTGAAGTTGTTGGAAAGGGGTCTTGCTGCCTTACCTTCCCTGGGCGTGCTGGTCAGGCCGTGGGGTGTGGCAGAGATCCGCCAGGGCCTTCGCGGTCCTCCTGGGACCCCCCACCCCTGAGCTTTGGGCCTCTGCAGCCCCAGGAAGGGGTAGACCAGGCCCCCAGCAGAGGCCGGCTTGAGGCCGAGAGCCCCAGGCGAGGTGTGTGAGCCAGGCTGCAGGAAGGAGCGAGAAGAGCCACCGGCAGAGAGATGGGGCTTCCTGTTTCCCCCAGAGCAGCCGCGGCCTCAGGACAGGGTGGCTCCGTCAGCCGGGCTGGGCCCGGCCTCTCACCAGATGTGCTGAGCCTTCACCAAGGGGTGCGGCCGGCCCAGTGACCGTCCACAGTGGGAGCTGGCTACCCCTGGGCCGGGTCTGCATCTGAGTTGGGTGAGGTCCCAAAGGGAATCAGAGGTTTTCTAGGGAGCCCGGGGGGTCTTCATGCTGCATCGTCTCCCCCACTGCCCACTGCCCCCTGCCCGGTGCGCCTTCTGGAAGCACCCAGGCCAGGCTCTGTGCACGGCACTCACGAAATTACCTTCAGGTGATGTGACTGAAGCCCCCACGGGAACGTGCTCGTCCAAGGTCAGCCAGTGGGAACTGGGAGCCCTGGATGGGGAGCCTGGGGGTTGAGGGCGAGCAGCGGGAGACCCTTCTCTGCGCTGCTTCCCAGACCTTACCTGCTGGGGACTGTCACGCAGTCATGACAACCTTCCCATTGCTGGTCTGCCACTGCTCAGGCCGGAGGCCCAGGACACAGCCTTCGCCCTGTCTTTGTGTCCCCATGGGCTCTGCCTCCGGAGTGTGTCCCACCTGCTGCTGTCCCATTCTGGTCTGGGCCACCATGCTTCCTGCCTGGGGGACCTCCTCCTCAGCCTGTGGGGCACCCCGGCCGCACCCCAGTTCTTTGTGAAGTGACATCAGCATGTGACCTCCCAGCTTCGGCACAACTGAGGGCTTCCCACGACACTGGGGACCGCGTCTGATCCCTCACACTTGTGGCCTGAACCCCCTTCCTGAGCACCAGCAACCTGGAGCAGAGACAGACCACATTTGCCTCACTCCCTCAGGGACAGAGCTGGCCCCTAGCAGGGGTGCAAAGGGCCACCCGCCACCACCCCGCCCAGATGGGCGCCCGGCCCAGAGGCGGTTCCGTGTGTGTGTTGCCATGGAGTTGTGCACGGGGGCGTGGGGGGGAGGGTGAGCGTGCATCCCCCCAGGGGATGCCCCCATCCCCGCCCAGGTGCCGTGCCCCCACTCGCACAGCATGGTTCATCCGCTTTGAGTTCTAAGTATGGTGCAGCGCGGTGTGCCCGTGGGTCCGGCCTCTCCCACTCCAGGCGTGTCTGCACACGCTGGGTGCGGCTGTGTGGCTGGCGGTGGCTTGCCAGTCCTCTGGGCAGCTCCGTTTTCCACAGGGAGGGCAGGGCCGCGCACACACTGCCGCTTTTGGCTGTTACCAGCCGTGCTGTTCTGAACATTTTTGTGCCGGGGTGTTGGCATTTCTCTTGGGTGCCTATATCTGGGCCTTCTCCAGGAGAATTACTGGTCCCAGGAGACACATGACATCAGGGACTGCCCAGGTCACACCCACGTTGGCACCTGCTACTGCCTAGTGTCTGATTTCAGCCATGCTGATGACTTTGCGGGGCTAGCACCACACTATTCTTTCTGTAACGTGGGGAGAAAGACTCATTTTATAGACGAGACACCTGGGTGGGCTGAGAGCCAGCTCACGTGGGGGGCCACGTGGTCCCGAGGGTGCCGAGCTCTGGGCTTCAGCCTGTCCGATCAGCCTGCAAGCTACAGGCCCAGTGAATGTCCCGGGGTGTTGGGTCTGGGCAGTGGACAGAGAAGGGGCCGCCCACTGGAGAGTGAGCTGAGGGGGACCCCTGTGTCACTTCTGCTGTGAGTGTGTAGTGTGTCCCTGCCTACCGGGGGCCTCCAGGAGACCCCCCTCCACTGTGCCGGAACTGTTGGTCAGCTTGAGGTTGAGGTGGACACTGGGTCCTGCTTGGAAGCTCCGGGGGCGGGCGTTTATGGTCAGGCCAAACCCTGCACCACCACCACCTCCCCCTGCCCACCCTGGAGGGTCACCTTCAGGGTCCTCAGCCCCAAACCCCCAGTTTGTCCCAGTCCCAGCTTCGCCTGGAACCCAGGCTCCTCCAGGCTGTGGAGGCCACCCCCACCCCCTTGGGGCTCCCTCCTTTGTGGGGGCTGAGGAAGGGGGATTGCCCTCCCCTCCTGGCTTCCTGGACGGAAGCCTCACTCAGAGTCGGGCTGCAATTTGCCAAGCCTGGAGGATGGGGCGGCCATCCATGTGGATGGGGAAAAACACTT